TATATAAAAATAAGTTTGGAGACTCACCATGTCATTACAGTACATTTCACTATGACCATTTTCTATTTGACGATCATGCATCTTTACAAAATAGCCCAACAGCATAGTTTTTATAGCAAAAGACTCCATTTTAAGATTGTTATGTCTAAACCACACCATTCTTCCTTTCCATAATCCATCTGATGTACAAAGATGAGGGATTACCAGCATCTATTTCAATGGTTTGATCACACAGAAATCTATTGGTACTACATTCAGTGATCTCACAGGCATGTCTTCATATGGAATTGCATGAATATGTGTTTCATTCTCCAACTGCTTGAGGTATGTGATAGATGAACAGATATGTTTTCGAAGCAATTAGCGCACACGACTTGTGTCACTTTTCCAAGTGGAAATTTTTCTTGATTATGTTGTGTACTGTAGACGGTTTTTGTCTCTAATCTTTGTGTTCACAGATTTTCTGCGGTTACAAATCATCCCACTTTGCTTATCATGGCTAGGGTACACCTTGACCCACATTCTTTTGGTGTACCATGTCAATAAGTACAAGGGATATTCCCATCTTGGAAATTCTAAACCTCTGATCTGAACACATTCTTATGACCTGATTGTATGAATATTTTAAGTTGGAAAGGACTGCTACATACCCTATCAAAGAACCATTAAACATTCTCAATATAGCACAATATTCCACTGCAACTTTGTATTTGATCTTGTTGACTTAAATCGTTTTCATATAGTTTATTCAACCTTCTGTATTTGTTCTGTACTTACATTTAACAAATTTTTATAGTGACATTTTTTTTATAATGATAGCAACACACAGTCCAGAAATTTTTTAGCATTACCTTGTTCTAGTTACTACATTTCTTAGTCATCTTTAGTAGGTGATGTCTTTTCTGCCTGTAAGGGTATTTCACCACTGGACAAAGCATCCAGATTTAACACATTTGCAATAGAATTACTTTTGCTGGAAGATTATCCTGTTGACTGAAAGTAACAACTGACCAATACTGTCATGGAACAGGGGTCACAAGATAACACCAGCCACTGGACAAAGAAATTGAGTTTACAATTCTTCATTTAAACATGCTATCTTAGTTCAGTTCTTTAGTAGACGACATACCTATTTGCAAGCATTGTGTTTGGTTCTGCTGCAATGAATCCTGTAAGAAAGAAAGCATCAGGACTAAATACTATCTAGGAGAGAAAGAAATGTTACGTTAAACATGGAACTTAAAGAAATAAAGTGCTTCTGCTACTTAGACTTTAATCTTTTTACAAAATAATCCAAGAGAAGTGGACCAAATGTAAAAATCATTACAAAAGTATTGTTAATGAGTTCATTTAATTATTAACTAGTTCAATTTCTTTACTGTTTGAATGAAACATGTGTACAAGTTTTGTTTGTAAAATGTTCTTCACTTAATTCTTTCTGTTCCTTTCCCAATCAGCTGAATTTTGTAAGGTGTTAGGACAGAGGTGAAAAATCACCATAATGAAGGTAACAAAAAAAGGAGCACTGAACTCTCATTTTCTGTGATATTTTAATCCAACAAGTTTTAGCTAACAACTGGTACATATACATCTAAAATGATTTTGTCCCATAACACATTTCACATTATTTCTGAAAGAATAATGAGTGAATATGTCACCAAGATAGCCATAATGACAGAAAAATTAAAAAACTTACACTTGCCTACATTAAAGGTTAACAACTTCTTAACAAGTATGAACACATACATTATGTAGAGACTTTAATGATCAGGATAAATCTGAAAAAAGTTTACCAAAGTAATAACTAGATTTGGATTTCATGAGTATCAGATGTTAATGCAATGACACCATAAACATCCACATATGAGATTTACTTTTAAAAATATACTAAAGACATAGGGAATTTTACGAAGTTCATTTTATATTATGACTTATGAGAACTGATTTCTTAGTTAAGGACTTTCAAATCAGTACTTCATAATTAACAACTGATTAAATAATGAATTAATTATTCCAAATTATTATTTATCTGGATGTATGAAACTGATGTCATGGTTCTTCTGCATCTTCAAACTGGCCTTCAGTTACTCCTAGAAAGTGACAAAAATGTTCAATTGGCTCAGGGTGGATATCTGAAGGAACAAATGACCCTTCAGGTGCAGGAAATTTGAAAATGAGGGGGTCAAGAGTTGGATGTCTGTACATGGGACGAGTCTCTGAAAATATTCAAGAAACCCAAAGAAATTAAGATCTTAATAATATTATAGTGGCAATTTGTTATCTAATTAACTCTTAGAGCATATAATAGAATATATTTCAGTTTTTATAGCATGTAATTTCATTTTGTTTTTAAGTTTTACAGTATACAGTGACATTTTTTAAAGTGTTACAGAGCACATATAGTTTGTTGTGTAATTTTGCACTAGAAATCAACAACAACGTCTTCTATAATATGCATTAAACCATGAAAGAGTAGTATTACTGAATGGCATATAATTATCATAAGCCATGACAGGGTGCAAATGCGAAGAGAAATTGTAATTATTTCTGAAGACCCCCAGGTTTATCAGATTGGATTGGATGGCTTGAACTTTTGGATAGCTCAATTTTAGAGCACTGACCTTATTAGAGACACATTCCAAGTTCAAGGCCCTGTTCCTGAAGTTTCTATTCATTCACCAGCTTTCTCACTTAAATATTTAATGTCGGTTATTAAGATAATATGCATTAAAAAATACATCTAAATTCATTTTGTATCTATAATATATCCAAATTTATTCTTATCTAAAATATACATTGTTACG